CCAAATTCCAAACACCGCCCTAAAAAATAAATCTTCATGTTCCTTTCTTTAGAGCAATAAAATCACAAAACCTGCTTTAAGATTAGGCAAAATTTAGGGACTATTAGTGATAACCCCTTCGAGTGTTTTTTTTATCCACACATATTTTTAATATTAGTAGGACACTATTTTAATAATTCCCGAAAATAGCCTTATAGAAGACATACACACAAAATTCGGAAATTCGAGATCCCTACAATCGTGATTACATCCCAAAAAAATCGCTTTCCAAATCTTTCCATAATTTTTTTTAAAATAAATTTAACTTTCGTTTTTTTATTACTTTATTTAAAAACTAACAATAATAGCTTTAAAATAATATTTTTCTTAAAATTTTTTATTTAAAAAATATTTTAATTTTAATTTTAATTTTTTTAATTTCAGTTTTTTTTATTCGAAATCAACTATAAAGAATCTGAAACCAACTATAATATTTCCAAAATCGACTATAATTTTTTTTTCTTAATTTTAATTTTTAGTTATTTTTGACATTCTTTTCCAGAAAATAACTATTTTTTTGCCATTTTTTTTTAATAAAAAACAATTATAAATTGTAAAACAACTATTCGAAAAACTACAAAAATGAAAAACCTATCGAAAACGACTAAAAATAATAGAATAATGAAAACAACTAAAACAAATAGCAGAATAACGAAATCAACTATAAGCAGAATAACGAAAACAACTATTTTCTGGAAAGATACTCAACATCAAAAGCATCAAAAAAAAATTTAAAAGAAGACGGCGGTGGGGCAGAGGTGGAAGGGGCAAGATGCGGCGGCGGTTGGCTCACCAAATCTCGCGGCGAAGACGAGGAGTAGATGTAGATAGGGATTTATGAGTTCTTGTTCTTGTCTTATACAACTATATCGAAAATTATAGCAATGGAGGCAACGTCAACGACACTGAGACTTCAGATCCGGCGATGAAGACGAGATTTTTTTGAGAATATTTCATCACCGGAGTGCTGGGTAGATGGAGTGAATTTTTCACCGTCACGGCGTGAGGAGCGGCTTTTGGTGGTGTCGGTCGGAGATGGCGACAATGAGATTTCTCATGCTCTCATTACACTTATTTTGGGCGGTCTGATTAGTTCCTCGGCGGAGCGGCTCAAAGACTCCGGCAACAGAGAGGCGACGACAAGCGGAGGGAGAAGGAAGACATTCGGCGGCATCGGAGCTGAGGTGGAAGGCGGAGATGGCAGCAACGGGGCTGAGATGCACGGGGAGAGATGGTGGCGTAGAGAGACAAGAGAGAGAAGAAGAAGAAGATGATTCATTGGACGTATAGGGTTTGGCAATTTGAGAAATATAAATCTGAAATAATATAAGTAAATTATAATTTTGGGGTAAAATAGTCTTATCGTATAAGATTTTATTAAAATATTAATATTAAATGACAAGTGAAGGGGGTATGACTAATAATACAAAAGGGGCTGGATTGCTTTTAAGTTCTATTAACTAAATAGTAAGGATTAGTAAAATGTTTGGTTGGTGAGATTCGTATTTAGCTCAGCCCGTTTCGATACTTAGAGCCCGCAGTTAAATGCTATTATTTGGTTAAATTTATAATACTCATTTGCGATTAATTTAGTAGAGGGTGATTAAAAGAGAAAAATTCCATTTTATGCTTAAAATAATATATATATATATATATATATATATATATATATATATATATATATATATATATATATATATATATATATATATATATATATATATATATATATATATATATATATATATATATATATATACCTCTCAATTACGGTAATAAATTTAGTGAAATATTCTAAATTATACGAAATATCTCAGGTTTTACGAATTTTCTCTCTTACTCAAAAGCTTTATGTATGCTACATCCAGTAAAAAGTAGACGGTATAATTTTATTTCTATGCATCATGGAATAAACCCATAATTCCTCATGCCATAAAAGCTCCTAATAATATTCCTTTTCTACTTCCTCCATTAACCATACTAGTAATCCTTTCCTTTTGTACCTCCTCTTTAAGACTGTAACAATTGTCGCCATTGCTTCTCTCTCCTCAAATAAATCAGAGAGTCGTCTAACAATTACGCCGATCGCCGACGGTGAGATTTCTACCGGCGTACCGTATCATTCTTTTTTAGTTGCATTATGTCATGAATTAATTCGTTGTAACTGAATGATTTGGTTGAAGATAGAAATTCCCGAACCCTAATTTGTTTCCGTTCTTCTTTTATGGGCTGTATAGTCAGGAGTAGGGAAATTTTGTTAATTTAGTGAATTATTAAATTATCGAGTTAATAATTTAACAAATTTTCACCCGAGTCGGGATCGAGAGAAACTATTATTTAATCGAGGTTTGACAAAATCGCATCTTTTTTTTTTTGGATACTGAAATTTGATTTCTCTGTGGATAGATCCCTGAAAGATTGAATTTTGTCCATTATAGCTTGATTTATTTGTAATTGACAGCTTATTATGTTTACCACAACTTTTGGATTGATTTGGAGTATGTGAAATTTCATCCTGAAAATAATTGCAATCAATTAGAATTTTTTTTACATTAAAGCTGCAACCTTTTTAATGGACATGCTCACTAAAATTTGTAGGGATCTCTTTCAAAAATATTTACTTTACTTGTTATACATATTGCTCGGAGTTTGCTTCATGCATAGAATTTGATTTTTTGTTTTACAATTTTCTTTTCTACTTAAAATTTTGCCTAGATATGGAGCCGGATAATGTTTTAAAATTTGAATACAAGGAGTTGGTTAGATTTACCGACAACTTTAGCGACAGTAACTACATCGGCCGTTTCCAATTCGGCAAAATTTATCGCGGAGTGTTCGGCGAAGTCTATCCAATTTATATGTTGGTGAAGATGTGGGAAGTTCCGGAAATATACAATTACAAGCCTGGAGATGATAAAGTTAGACTGATGGTATGTTTTTGCTATACCGATACTTTTTTTTTCTTTTTTTTTTTTTATCTATTACGACTTTTTGACATGTGTAGCATGTGCTTGTACAGGAGGAAGTCGTTTTACTTCGCCATGAAGTCGTGATCAAACATCCGTGCATGGTAAAGCTGTATGGATACTGCTTCGACGACGAGCATCTCGGTGTTATTTATTCGTTGAAGCCGTTCGACTCTATTTATAACCTCATTCCTAGAGGTATTCGATTTTTTATTACTTTTAATCCGTGCATTAATCTTTGAAAGAATTTGTGTTCTAAGTGAAAGGATTTTAAGTGAGCCAATTTCACTTGTGTTCGACTCATAGATAGTTTCACATGGCTGCAAAGGATCAAATCGGCATTCGGATTGGCTTCCCTTCTCAAATTTCTACATGCTAAAAACTCCACTTCATATTACGCACCTTTCGTAGTTCAGAATCTTGATGCTGCTCATATAGTGCTTGATGAGGTTTGTGTTTTTCGATTCTTTTTTTTAAGTGATCAAGTACGAAGAAATCGGTTAATTAGTAGTTTGACTAATTATGCAGGACTATAACCCAAGGCTATGCGATTTTGGTCTGATATGTGGTGGAATTTTCCCCGATAGAAGATCGTATTCAGGCCCATTGGGTTGCTATGGCTACATCGATGTTTGTGCATCCAATACATGTATGTAAATTCTCACCATTTACGCCGCACTCTATTCATTATTCACTGAACAACTAATTTATAATCTTACCCATTGAATTATGATAGATTGTCACCCAATCAATTGCATTGATTTGTTTGAAACTCGTTGCACGTTTATCGAGATAAACATTACATCCCTCTTTTGTGCAAAAAAAGTTGAAAACTTTTTTCAAATGGGGTTATTAATAGATACTATCTGTATAACTAATTCATTTTGGGATTATAGGGGCGACCAATTCTATTTTCGATTTTTCATTTATGGTTTTGTAACAGATGATTGCTCGAACAAAAAGGACGTGTTTGCATTTGGGGTGATACTCCTAAGTTTGATATCGAAGAGAGTATACACAGAAGAAGACAGGCAATCTGGTTTTCCGACTGTTTACGAGTGGGCTTTAGGACAATGCCAAGCGTTTGAATCGTACAGTGAAATGAAAGATGCAAAGTTTTCGCTTGTGCATAAAAGTATGGCGTATGAAAGTGAGTTTTGTGGTAAAGATGGGCATAAGATTACGATGATTGCGTTAGAATGTGTTAATAGAGTCCAATCGGAAAGGCCTGCAATGAAGCAAGTTTTTAGATCTTTACGCAAACTCGAAGTTGTGAAGAACAATGCTGACTTCGTCGGAGCAAACAACAAACTGCTGCTTCGGCCCTGTGAAATTACTAAAAATAGCTGCTGATTTATTATTTATGGCATTGAAATATGATATTAGAATGTGATGTATGTTGTTATTTATGGCATTGAAATGCCAAGGCTTGGACTCGTTAATTTATCCATATTGCTGGCGTCGTGGACTATGTTTTCTTGTTGTCTTGAATTTTTTTGTTATTTTATTTATGTTTTTTTATTTTTTTATTTTTTTAATAATTATTTAAAGTATAAGGACGACGGATATATGCAAGCTCACTTATCTCTTTGTACAAGACCACCAATGTAAAAATACCTATTTACCGTTAATGAAATTCAAGACCAAATTAACACACAAAAAAATAGAAAAAAAAAAACTCATTTTCTTTATGCAAGTCCAAATGAAATAAACCTACAAACACCCTATTATTTCACAATTCAAAAATCTTCTTCTTCTTCTTCACAAACTCACCAAGAACCCTAAACCTCAAAACAATCAAATAATCACCAAACATTCACAATGGAGTTGGAAAACAAGGAGATGGTGGTTTATGAGGGGGAAAGCGTAATAATATATTTGTTAACCGTTTATTTTAACATGTATGCATTTTTTGAAAAACAAAATCGCCGATACAAAAAATCGGTATTCACAGTCCGATTTTTTCAAAAGTAATGGGTACTCACGTGCTAATTTTACAAACAAAAATCGGTAGTATAGTGCCGATTTTTCCAAAAAAAAATCGGTCTGAATATACTGACTTTTAAAAAAAATCGGTGCGTACACACCGTTTTATCAGCTCCGATTTCAATCTCAAAATGTAATCCTAAATTGACCAGACCACTGCAACCTAACAAGAAATAAATATCGATTAATGTTTACCACGCATATTTATCAAGGAATCAATGCTCGTTTTCAAGGAATCAATGCTCGATGAATGTTTTCGAATTTACCACAACAAGTTTAGTATAAAAAATGGTGGGTTGGTGGTGGTGGTGCGCAAGTGGGTGGGTTGTATGTCGGCGCCGATGCGGTGCCGATCTCCCTAGTCGGGGTTGCGGCGGCGTTCGTGCGTCGGCGGTCGTGTAGCGGCGACAGGTCGGACATTTTTGTTTTTGTTTTTTTTTTCTTGGTTGGTCTTGAACAAATTAAAAATAGGAATATAGGGTTTGTGTTTCTATTTGTGGATGATGGCATATTCGTCCTCTTTGATCTTGATATAAGAAAATTAGAGAAATTTGTGGGGTTGAACTAAGGAACTCTTTTATGTGTGTTTGAACAAAAAAAAAATCGGGCTTGCAAATATCCGTCGCCTTTAGATTATTGTATTACATACTTATGATACAAATACCTTGCATTATTTGTTAAATTCTAAAAAATCATCTCGAATATAATACACTAATACAGTACAAATAAATAAAAAAAAAAAAAAAGAAGAAGAAGAAGAAGAAGAAGAAGAAGAAGAAGAAAAGGAGGCAGATATTTACTTCATCCATGCAAATATTTTCCTTTTTATAAACAATGAATTCCTTTTATTTATTACATACACTTTAATATATATGTATATATATATATATATATATATATATATATATATATATATATATATATATATATATATATATATATATACAACCACATGTGAGAGAGTTATTAATGCAGTTATTTAAAATTTGGAGTAGCAAATTTGTAGGTGATATGAGCAGTGAGTGCCACAATAACAAGCAAAGCCACCCCCATGTTCACTAGCAATTGCCTTTCTTCATTCAATTCATGAACAATCCCTTTTACCCCCTTCTTATATTTCTCATTTACTAATTTCAATTCTCCATTATTTATTTCCTCTTTATTTTCTCTCTTCTTTTCCCCCTTTTTTCTCGCCAAATTATCATTTTTTCCCGACGCAACGTGCTGCTTTTCTTTAGTCTCAATCCTTTCTTGCTTTGTATGTTCACTCGATTCCCTTTTAGCCATAATTGGATCATGACTCGATTCTTTTTTAGCCGCCATTGGATCATGACTCGGTTCCTTTCTAGCCATTGGATCATGACTCGATTCATTTTTAGCCGTTGGATCGTGGCTCAATTCATTTTTAGCCGTTGGATCCTGGCTCAATTCATTTTTAGCCGTTGGATCGTGATTCGGTTCCTTTTTAGTCGTTGGATCATGGTTCGATTCTTGTCTCTTTATAGGAGTCGTTGGTTGCTTTTGATCATCAATGGTTTTGGGTGTCGTTGGACGGAGATTTTGATCTTGAGGTTTTATGTCGGTTTTACTTTTGGAAATTGTGATGTTTAAGGTTCCGCCTTGGAATTTGGCACGAATTGAATTCATTTCGCCGTTTTGTGGAACTTGGAAATTCTCAAGGAAACGGCTCCATTTGTTGCCGCCTACTAGGCGTTCTCCACGGACTCGAATCGTGTTACGGCCTTCCGTCGAAACCTTGATTTGCTCCTTCGTAAAGCCTTGTAGAGAAAGTAAGGCCCAAAATTAAATCATATATACTACTAGTTTACTAAATTATTAAATTGAAATTCATGATATATTAAATGAAATTAAATTAAAAAAAAAACACATACAGCCTAATTTCAAGAGAGAAAATAAATTAAAAAAAAAAAAGATGCATGTACAAAATTAATATATATACCAGGAAGATTGATATCCAGAATATGTAATTCATCATTTTGTTGCCATTCCGACTTAGGTTTGAAATCCTCGTAAACCGGCCGCACAACGCCGCCTCCCGAACGTGCTCCTCCACGGTTAGGTGCACCTGCACCGCCACCTCTCGACCTCATCACCATATTCTTGAAATACTTTCTTCCTTATATAATATTATCTCGAACACGATATAAAGCGACCGACTTATATGTATATTGATCACCCTCGATTATCGTAAGCTTGTATATATATGTGTGTGTATTTATGTGAAATAAGTACTAGGTGTGGTGTGTGTTTTTGTTTTTTGTTTTTTTAACTTGTAAAAGAGTTTATCTTGTTGTGGTTGCTTTGTGGAGATGATTGGATTGGTGTACATGCAAGTATTAGGTATATATCTTATCTCTTGTTATGAAGATAACTTTGTGAAGGTTCTTTTTTATTTATTATTTCTTTTATTACTTTTTCCCAAAGAAAAATGTAATGACTTTTTGGTCTTGGAAAAAATGGGTGATTGATTACTTGGCCATGTAAATGAAGAATTTTCTCTTAAGGGTCCAAAAGGGGCTGACCTGTTTAGCACGGACATGGAAATGACGATATGGGAAAACGGGAAACGGATATGGGAAAACAGTATGCTCCAAAAATGGGGATAGGGAAATTTGGGGAAACGTGTAAATATTAAAAGTGTAGGGGCATATTTATAAATATGTTATATAAACATATATTTCCATACAAATATATTCAAAATAAATACTACTATCAACTATTAATTTGCAATTGATCATTAAATTATGTAAATATTTAGGGAAGTAACAAAAATAATTTGAAATTTTGCTTTCCAAACATGTTTCTAATTTTTCATAAATTACAAAATGATCCATAAGATGTCCAGCAGGTATCCTCGAATTTTGGACACGAAACATTTCCGAAACACGAATACGTAAAGAAATTGAAGTTTACGTGTTGCATCGTAGAAGGACTCAAAAAGTAGAGTTTTCAAAAGGGAATTTGTTTTTCTTTTAATTCTTTATTTTTCCTTGTTTGGAAAGTAACTTGGACAAATTGACCATTATTGAGGATTCGAGATGCAATATTTGATTTAGTTCCGTGTCAAGATTGAGTTCGCTAGCGAGTTGGAAATTTACGTTCCAACTCAATATGAGTTGGATTTCATCTTTCTTTTAATTTTTTCTTCTTAAACTTCTTTCTCTTAATTCCAAAGTTATAAAAGTTCTAGAAAATATTCTTTACCTAGATCAATATTATATATATGTTTTGCCGGCCAAGAAATGGATCTTCGCCTTCCACCCTGTCGATCTCAACCTCGAATACGACCAATGTAATCCGATAAACAAGACACCCTGCCGGAAGAATCGGAAAATGAACACCAATCGATCGTGAATTGGTCGGTGATTTGGATTTTTTGGAGAAATGGATTGTAAATTTTGGACTATTTATACTTTAAGTTGAAATACTAATAAAATGAATAGAAGGGTATTTATGTCTTTTTACATCAAAAATTCCTTACTAGTCGCAACACGAACTCGAGCTGGTGGAGAGAGAGCCTTTAACCAAAACGCATAGAGGGTTTTGAGTGAATTTTATTTTTATCACATAGACTTTTCCTGCAGTTCGAGATTACACGGGAGTATTATTTGCAAATAACTCGATATTTATAATAATAAAAATTCAGAATTTACAATGAAAAACTGCAAGAAGTAGACCTAATTGGGCAGCAAAATATACACCACCTCCCAATCACACATACATCTTTAGCAGCATATCATATATGTATTCCTATATATATATATATATATATATATATATATTTATATATCTTTTCTTTTCCAATTAAAATTTAAATAACAATGGCAGCTATTCCTCATACCAATACTGAAAATAATTTCAGTATTGTTACTATTATGGCAATGGACATTTTTTTTTTAACGACAAGAGAATTAATTAAGATAATCTTCTTGCTATTATATAACTAACTACTTGTTTTCAGCTTCTCCATTGGCAACAACATTTCCATTAGCAACAACTTTTTCGTCGGCCGGTTTAGGTTGTGCCGCCTGGCTTGCGCTCATTAGGGAGTCGAATTTTTCGGATTTTTCCAGCACGATTTCGATCTGAAAATTAAATTGTAGCAATTATCAATTTATTAATATAGTAATAATTAGAATAATGTAATTCGAGACACAATTGTTAATTTATATATAATAAGAAGAAAATAAACACTCACCCTGGCTTTGTTGACTGTACGGCCCTTGTCTTGATCTTTCATTCCAACCGTAGATGTCAAAATACCTGTTCCGAGTAATTATATAGTTATTTATAAATTTTAAATAAATAACATAGATAATCCACCCGATGTAGCGTTCACCGTGGGCTCGTAAGATTACTTACTCTTCTCTTTGGCAAATCCATTATTCTTCAAAATCTCAGCTATTGTGACAACTGTTGTGATTGCTGTAAGAAAAATAGGGTAAATTAATTGTATTCTTAAGAGCAAAAATAACACACACACACACACACACACACACATATATATATATATATATATGAAAGCATTCTTAATTTCTTACCCATTCCCAATGCAGAAAGCTCAATCTCGGTGTGTTGTTGTAAATACCTCTAAATAAAAAATAACCACATTAATTTTTCAATCAAACAAAAAATCCTCCAATCAATTAAAATAATTTTTTTTAATACAAACATTAATAGCAACAAATTCTTATCTTTGAATTTAAACAAATAAAAAAAATTGTTCAAATATAATTTTATTGAATCAAAATCACTGTTACACGTTCCAATCTCTATTTCAATCATTCAATTCTATATATTCAATTATCTGATTCTTCTCTTAAGAACAAATATAGCTGGTATAAATTCTCTAAACATCTAAGCTGCCTAAGTATGCTTTTAATACATATCCAATTAATTAAGTATGTGGATATTTACTTGCAAACACATAATTAAAAATAGATAAAGCCATGAATTCAAGAACTAGTAGCATAATAAAAAATCACTTATACCATTAACTCATTCGTAAAGGGCCGTTAGACGTGTTCGAAAAATATCACTAATCAGGATCAATTTGTCAAATATTCGACAATTTAGTTCGTAACCCGATATATATATATATGTATAATAAAATAAATAAAAATAGAATATAAATATAAAAATATAAAATAACCTTTGCAAGATTGACGTAGAAGAAGAGGGGCTTCTTGGTATTGGAAACTTGAATTCTGTTCTTCTTCAGATTCTCATTGTTAATCTGCTTCATTGCAGCTGGTGCCATTGTCATTGTTTTTTTTAATAATTTCCTTTAAAGGAATTAAATCACACACTTTCTTATGTTTGCTGCTTCTGCTTAATTTAAATTTAATCACATAAGTGCTTTTTTAGTTGCTCAACTTTGGGTATATACTATCTATAGAGTGGGTAAAATGGGAGGCCTTGCTTCAACAAAAGTGTTCATCCATTGTTATTTTATTCCAAAAAATTATTTTATTAATGGAAATCCGAAATAATAGCTCCTTTTTTTGACCTTGTAAACTTTAGTTTAGGGTCATGAGAAATAAGTGTAAGTTGTTCAATGATCAAAGGATGAGAAAGAAAAAAAGTAATTTATATATATATATATATATATATATATATATATATATATATATATGTGTGTGTGTGTGAGTTTTTTATTCTTATATAAATAAATACTAAATATAATGGACAAAATTTATATTATTTTAAGTAAAATTTATGAATATTTACCTTTTTTTTTTAGAAATTGTTTTAATCAATACCTCTAAAAAATAATGTTGGACAATGTATCAAATCCTCAAAATATTAAATGCAATACATTATTAGAGTCATTTTGATTAATTAGTTTTTTTTTTCTTTTTTGTTTTTGGGACTTACTTTACAGTTGAAAAATTGCTATTCGTAGTTCAAACCTAATGCTATTTGTATCTGAACGCTCAGATCGGGCGCCCAAACCTATACCGGACGCCCAAATCGGGCGCGCATTCGCGAACCGAACACCCAAACCGGGCGTGAAAAATGCTGTGAACGCTCGGTTTGGGCGTTCACCGAGCGCAATTTTGGAAAAAAAAAGCCCGACAAATCGATTTGTAGGGCTGTTTAACATGAAATTACAACCGAACTTTCCTACCCAATGAAATAAAAACGTTTAGGAGTTTAAAATACCTCAAAATTTGATGAATTAGCTTGTTTTTGCTTGAATTCAATTTTTTTTTAAATATTTCGGATTGGGGAGTGAGTGGGAGAGGACTTGTAGTGAGAGAAGTGCTTTTGGGTATGAACTGCAAATAGCAAAGTTCTAACCCAAAAAAGATATGATAAGATTATAATATATACTACTTTTAATTAAAAATAAACAATATACTATTTTAGCAGGTTCCGCCATAGATGCGATATATACCGACTAAGCATTTAGGTTATTCATGAATTAGTTAAGAATATTGAACTATTGGGTTGTGAGGGGTCTTCTGTCCCCTTATATTTTGTGTCTGAGTGGGTTAATAAAATGCTATTTTCCATTAAAAAAAATCGAACAAAGCTTATGGTAAGAAAAAAACAATTAGTTTTGTCATCGAACAAAGCTTATGTCACGATAGGTTCCGAGCATTAACTAAGGTTCTTGAGTAACCTTGAATCGTGACCTTATAGCCTAGATATGCTAACCATCTAACTTAGACCACGACTTATTCATGTAAAAGTATTTTGTATTGTTCACAAACATGATTGATTTGTGAAAATAACTCTATTTATAATAAGACCAGTAGTCCCTAATGAAGGATTGAGATCGGATTAAACGTTGTTCAGTGAATATCTAGAGAAATTCCACCATAAATTTTTTTATAAATATTCTATGTATGTGTTAGAATCCCTACAATTATAGGGGAAGTATCCTACTCCTGTAGGAAAAACTTTTGACACCTTCTCCAATCGCTGGACCAAATAATTTAACTGTAAACAGCTAAACATTAATAAATGATTAATTCAATAAATTCAAAAATAGATAATATAATTTTGAGTTTAATTTCTCTATTATTTTTTCTTCAACCAGTTTAACTACTAAAGTTGAATTCAAACATTTGAGCATAAAAGAACACGTCATGACTTACAAAAACATCATTTATAGATGTCTTTCTATTCTTTGAAAGAAAAAGAAAACAATTTATAAATTCTTAGTAAAATTAATTAAATACTTTTTAAAATATATAAATGTATGAAACTCACCATATTTTTGGGTTGTAAATAATAATTATGGAATAATGAACCATTAATTGTCTTGCGGGCCGAGCTTTTAGAGATCAGGTCTTTTGGCAAAGTCAAGTCCATTTTGGCACCAGAATTAGGCCCTAAGATCGCAATTGATTCGATCTTTCATCTTACCGAGCTTTTTTTATTTTTTTTTATTTAAAATATAATTAATATAAAATAAATAATAAAAAAATAAATTACAGGTCATTGTTTTTATTTCGATTTTTTTATTATTATAATTTATAATAATAATTTTCTAATAATATTAACAAATAAATAAATAACACAAAATGGCTCAGACTTGAGCTCGAGCTCAGAAAACAATACTCGAAGAACTCGAGCTCGTCAAAATAAATGCAAGCACGGGCTCGAGCTCAAGTGTGGCTCGTTTACACCCCTAATCTTAGCTTTAAGATCGCAAATCCCAAGTTTATCTATGAAGAGCGATCTGATTATATTAGTGTGTATAACTAGTTTTTTTTTTTTTTTTTTGGTCATATAATACTAATTTGAAACAGATCATTAGTAAGTGTTACAAGATCTCTTGCATTGGAATACAAATCCGTTAGTATAGAACATGTTCTTGTCTAAATGAAATCCCCTAATATATGAAAGAGTGAAAAGAATAAGGTTTTTATTCTCATGAATATGAAGCCTTCGTATTTTAACGCACGTATATAAACTATTCAAAGCTATTAGAGCGGAAACCACTTTTTAGGGATACGAGTGTTCACTAATTAAACGATGAGTGTATGAATTGTTCAACTCATTCACATCCAAATTATGAATGTTTCGAATTCATATTATGAAAATAGACATTGCCTTTGCTAAATCAAATTGAAAGATAATGTAAAATCTATCTATTATTAATATCATGTGCATTTATCACTGTTAATAGTTCCAACATATTGATTCACCAAAGTTATTCAACAATCAATTAAAAAAAAAAATTGATATCTAAATTGGTTCATCTCTATCAATAATCCCTAATTGAAGTAATAGGGTAGAAAAGGAAATCAAACTATTTGATATTCAATTGAGATCGATTATTAAAAGTTCGTTTGAGCTCATTTCGGTACTAAAACGAAACAATCTTGAACACATGCTTTCCTTTGATAAGTTATGAATTCCCCGAACTCGAGCTTGGTTATTAAAAAACTATAAAATATGTATAAAAGATGCAAGTTATTCGAGTTTGATTTGTGCTCGTCTCTCGTTCAACATCGACTAGGTTACTTGTCAGATCAAGTTCAAATTAAACACCATTTCTAAAACTCGATAAATAATCTTCTTTTGTCGTTCTCAAAGTACGACAATAACAACTCAACCAAAAAATGAAATATTAAAAATGTAAAATTGCCTTTGCAAATGCATATAGGCTTCAATTGCACCGTTATTTTGTAGCACGTGAATCATGTTCACTACCTTTGCAAATACAAGGCGACAAGTATCGTTCTTTAATGAAATAATAATAATAATAATAAAATAATACTACTAAATAATATATAATTGAGCAAATTGAGGATTTATTTAACATGTGTTTATTACATGTTCACATCTCAAATATTGGCACAAAAAACGTTGGTTTGCCAAAGGGTAAATGAAAAGTCAACAAGTTGTTAGTGGGCTTTAAATATCATCATTCTTTATTAATGTATTATATTTTTTTTTTTTTGAACAGAAAGGTAACTATTATATTAAGACTTCAAAACAAGAGTTTCAGTACAGAGAGTAGTTTTACAGGCCCGTTGGTACATGCTATTACAGTCGTTATACAAAATATTAGTCAAAAAAGTCGGGCATATTTCAAAAGTAAGCATAGCGTCGTTGTTCATAGTTGTTCCAAGTTTTGCCAAAAAGTCAGCTGCACCATTTGTCTCTCTGTACCCGAACTCCACTTCGACAACGTCAAATTCAGTCAATCTCCTCCGCAACTCCTGCAGAAGTGAGTGAAGATCCCTGTGCAGCTGGTCCTTCCTGCTAAGAGTCGAAATTAAGAACATGGAATCAGTTTGGACACGGAGTTTTTTAATATCCAGCATTCTGGCGAGGTTAATGCCTTCTACTAGCGCCCAACATTCAGCTTTATTATTTGAGACAATGCCTATATTCTTAGAAAAAGCATTAATAAAGTTGCCATTACTATCTCTGATAATACCCCCGATTCCTGCAGAACCGGGGTTATGTTTGGATGCTCCATCGATATTAAGTTTAAACCACTCCCTTGGAGGGGGTTTCCAAGAAAGGGGGGTTTGTATAGGAACCGAAATATTGTGGGATGGTGTGGCTATCATCTGTTTGGCTAGAGTCCACAAATGAAAGGGTTGAATATCTTTTTGTTTAAACACAAAATTATTACGGGCTTTCCAAATGAGCCAATACACATTAGCAATTTGCGCTTGAAATAAAGGATTCTTACGGAGACTGTGTAGAAAACTACAGAAGTTCACCTCCGAGTTAGATTGAGGTGAGGGAATCCTTTTTATAATACTATACAATGCAGTACACTTATGAAATACATGTGTGCATGTTTCGGGTTGCAAATTACACATAGGGCAGGTATTAGACGACACACATTTTCGTTTAAATAAAAAGTCTTTTGTAGGAATGCTATTATGAGACAGTTGCCAGATAAAGAACTTAATACGAGGACCAACTTTTAATTTCCATATTGCCATCCAAGGGAGGGCTGGTTCAAGCAAACCCAAATGATTAGAGTAAAGCCAGTTGAAAGCACTTTTGAATGAAAAGTATCCTTTAGGATCCCAAGCCCAGCATAAGGAGTCTTTTTCAATGTACTTGGGTATATGAATACCTCTAATTTTTTGGATAACAAAATTTGGCAAAAGGTGAGAAATGCTATCAATTTTCCACGAGAGAGACTTGAAATCAATAAAATCGTAAACTTTTAGATGCGACAAATAATGAGGGATGAAGTTAGTATAATCGGCAATAGTCCAGTTATCCACCCATTTATCATACCAAAAATTAATATTTTGACCCCTCCCTACTGACCAAAAACAACATTTTTTTATTAAAGGAATGATCTTACATATGTTCCTCCAAATATTACTACAGTTACTATTAGGTTTAAGGATGTCAAGGAACTGTTTTTTTGAAAAATATTTGTTTTTAAGACACTTTACCCATAACTCATCGGAACCTTGGAGGATTCTCCAACCAATTTTGAGGAGCGCAGCTTTGTTAAGAAGGTTTAGGTCACGAACACCAAGACCCCCATGTTTCTGTTTAAGACATACAGTTTTCCAGTTAACAAGACTTTTCCTGTTACTATTAGGTTTGGCATTCCACAAGAATTTCTTGCATATGTTATTTATGCTGTTGATAGTGATGTTAGGGATTTTGAAAACATTCATAGAATACAAAGGCATAGAGTTAACCACATGTTTTATAAAGGTCAGTCTACCTGCATACGAGAGAGTTTTATTATACCAAGAATTAATACGAGTCTGAACCTTAGAAACAATATCGAAAAAAGTATGTTTAGTTATTCTGTCAATGTTAAGAGGCAAACCTAGATATTTCTCTCCTACTTTTCCTTTACCAATATTCAATTGTTGGCAGATAGACTTCCGCACATTGCTAGTAATATTCTTAGAGAAAAAAATTTTGGATTTTTGCCAGCAAATCTTTTGGCCTGCTTCAGCAGCAAAAGTGTCCAAAAGGTTTTTGGTGAAAACAATGGATTTCTGGTTAGCCTTAATAAAAATGAAACAATCATCCGCAAAACATAGAATCGGAATTTTAGGCCCTCCCCTACTAAGGCTTAACGCATCAAGATTGCCTTGGGCGCTAGCATTGACAAATTCGTACACTAAAACATTGAGGCATAGAATAAAAAGATATGGGGATAAAGGATCTCCTTGTCGTAACCCTCTTTTAGGTTTCCAATAGGGAGATTGATTCCCATTAATGGATAAGGAAAAGGAAACTGATTGAACACATTCCATAATCAAGTTAATCAAATGATCAGGCAATTGATATTTCTGCAAAGCAAATTTTATGAAATTCCATTCGAGTTTATCATATGCCTTTTCAATGTCAATTTTAAGGGCCATGCTATGATCTTTGCATTTTCTTTTCTTCATCGTGTGAAGCATTTCATGAGCGAGTAAAATATTATCACCAATGAACCGTTTAGGAACAAAAGCATTTTGGAAAGGGGCAATGATCTTAGCTAAGAAAGGTCGAATCTTTTTAACAAGAATATTAGAGATGATTTTATATGTGACGTTACATAAGCTAATAGGCCTGAAATGGCTTATGAGGTAAGGGTTTTTAATTTTGGGAAGGAGGATAATTTTAGTTCTGTTTATAAAATTGGGAAGTTTACCACTAACGAAGAAATTCTTAACAAGGGGGATCACCGAGTGTTGCAAAATCGACCAGTATGTTTGATAAAAATGAGCATTTAGACCATCAGGCCCAGGTGCCTTATCAGCTCCAATATGAAAAATAGCAGTAGCAATTTCCTGGTCCGTGATCTGTAGCTCAATACTTTTTTTGTCGACATTGGATAAGTGAGGAATGTTGGTGTGCAAAAAAGCAGTAGGTATAGGGGATTGCGAGTCATATGTGCTTTTGAAAATACGTTGAAATTGCAACATAATTTGGTTAGTATCATAGATCCAGTTACCCTCCTCGGTTTTAATGCTTTGAATTAAATTAATGTGTCTTCGATTAGAAGCATACGAGTGGAAAAATTTAGTGTTCTGGTCTCCATGCTTAAGCCAATTAATTCTAGATCTTTGTTTCCAATAGATCTCTTTCATTTGAAGGAGTTGGTTAAGCTCATTTCTGATTTGCGATTCGTTCTTGTGCAGCAGGGTGTTATAGTTAGAGTATAGAGCATCGGTGATATGATCTAGCTCATTCGTTTTATCGCTAATGCGTTTATCTAGATTTCCGTAGATATGTTTTTTCCACCATATAGATTTATTTTTGAAAATGAAGTATTTTTGCATAAACGAGAGATTCTTATTATGAGGCGAACAATTCCAGGTATTAGTAACCACATTTATAAAATCAGCATGCATAGACCAGGCAATCTCGTATCTAAACGGTTTTCTAAATACAGGAAGAGTTTCATGAGTGTCCAGCATGATGGGTGAATGGTCGGATGAGCTAGCCGTTAGGTGGTATAGTTTAGAGTTTGGGAATTTATTAATCCAAAGAACATTACCTAGAGCGCGATCTAATCGTTCACAGATAAAGTTTTTTCCGAAACAACGATTATTCCATGTAAAAGGATGACCACAGAACCCTAAATCCATGAGACCGCATGCATTAATACAATCACTAAATTCTGTAATTCTTTTAAGAGATGGGGTGTTACCACCTTTTTTTTCATTTAAGGATAGAATATTATTAAAGTCACCTAGAACAACCCATTGCATGGATATTGATTTAGCGAAGTTTAAAAGATCTTCCCATACCTGGGCTTGGCGGTTTGGTTGCGGGTAGTTGTACACTGCTGAAAGCGCAAAAGGTTGCGTTCCTGGGTTCATGGATACTATTGCATGGATAGTGCGGCTCGAAACCCGAACCTGCTGAACGCTCACCAGATTTCCAGTCCATAGAACCCACATCCCACCTGCATAACCAAGCGCAGACACAACTATATGGTCAGTGAAAGGCAGCCGTGGTATAATAGCTGCTGCCCGATCAGCATGCATACGAGTGTCAAGGACGATAAACACATGGGGGTTGTAACGGTTAATTAAGGCACGAGCCGAATTGACGAAATCAGGCCTGTGGGCTCCTCGACTATTCCATGAAAGGATTCTCATTTGGGTGTGTGGAGGGTTGTAAGTTCGGGACGAGGACCCTATCATGCCTGGAATCGGCATGGAATTGTCGTTTGGGTTCAACAACGAGGTCGTGAATGGCCCCGGGCCGTTTAGATTGTTTAGTGGGAGTAGGATCATTCGGAACTGATACTCTCTTCCCCTGACGAATGGCTCTCTTTCTTGTGCCAGATCCACCAACATCCTTGCTGTTGAAGGTGGGTTTACAAAGAAGTGAGGATTCTGGTGGTAGGGTTGGATCACATAGGTGTGGGGACCCACCATTATCATTTGGTTGCGATTTGGGAGGTGGCCGAGTGGATGACCTAGTTGTTCTGGATTTAGGTTTAGGAGGAGGGGAGAAGGAGCTCGTGGGGTTCGACTGGAATTCAAAAACAGGTTCGAAGCCTGGTGGATATGTGGGGTCACTGGAGAGGTCGGGAAGCCATTCTCCACGATCGGAGGGGGACTTTCCATGACCGGGGCTTGGGGAAGAAGTTGCAGAGTGGTTGGTGGGGAGTGGTGCCGGTGTGGTGGAGATAAGGGGGGAGTGTTGGGAGTCATTGTGCAGTGAAGGTTGCTGAAGTGGTGTGTGAGGGGTTGAGGGGTGTGGAAAAATTAAATCACCTTGCATGGAATATAAATCGTCATTTTTCAAGTTAGTGGGTAGTACTGTAGAGCTGGCGTGTTGAGTGACGTCATCTGAATTAGGGTTTTGAAACGTCGCACCCTCGGGAAACATTAATACTTGCGTGTTTGAGTTTTCCTTTGTATTTCCCAAAGGAGATTTGGAATATTCTTCGTTTGTCTTTTGCTGTTTTTTGTCTATTGGGTAGCTGTCACCGCCCATCTGAGAATAATGATTATTTTCCCACGCGCCCTTGCCACGTGTGTATTGTTCGTCGTCTTCTTCGATTTCATCTGTTTCGCCATTGTTGTTCTGGTTTTCAAAGTTCTGCAGCAGCTCAAATTTATTCTGCGACGGCGATTTTGTCCTGTCTTTTAGTAGTTGATCGTCCTTTTTGGTAGTATATTCAGGTTTTCGTTCGATCCTCTTAGTCCCAGGGTGGTTGCTCGATTTATCGATCTGGGTCTCAACTCCGTCGTTATTATTATTATTCCAACTGGTGTTCTTGTTCTTTGGTCCAAACAATTTTCTTCCTGATTTTTTATTTCTGTTTATTATTCTACGGTCAATAAATTGCCAAGCCTGAGAACCGTCGACCATTATGGACTGCTTCTGATGGGTTTCTACCAAGGTTTCGTTTTTACCTTTTGACTCCAGACATTGATTTTTGTAATGTCCGATTCGACCACAGTTTGTGCAGAAACATGTGCTGAACTCATACTTGATGTATTGTTTATGTCCGTTTATGAGCACATACGGTGGTAATTTGTGATTCGAGTCCACTTCCACACACACCCTAGCGTACCGACCCCTAGTTATTGAGCTTGTGTGCATATCCATTTTAATTGGTCGTCCAATCGCTTTGGCGAGTTTGAAGAGGGCTTGGGTGTTGTAAAATTCAATTGGGAGTTCCGTGAATTGAAACCATAAGAAGATCTTGGAATTTTGTGGGGAAGAGACACGGAAGTTTGGTTTCCATTGATGTATTGCGAGATAATATTGGAAGATAAACCATGGTCCTCCCGCTAGTGCAAGGAAGTATTCTTCCGGAATCCTGAACTGGACTACATAGAATCCCTGACCGAGCTCTGTGATCATTAATTTATCTTTAGTTTTCCATATTCTCTGCAATCGGAAGTCAATATCTGGAATTGATTTCTGGAACCCAAGAGTTTGTATTATCAAGGACTTTTTCCAAGGTTTATACAACTCTTGGAGTTCATCAAGCGCAAAATTTATATTTGGGATAGAGGTATCTTCTGTGTGTTCAACTGGTTCCGGAGGTTCCCACTTGCATTCATCTTCTATATGCTGAAACCATGTGTCAAAATAGATATGTTTAGAATTTTTCATAAGCGTTTCCTTGTATGAATGATTGGTATCGCCAGCTGTATCCTCTAACATAGAAACACGACGATTCGTATACTCATACGCAGGTGGATTCAATTTTTCCAACATGGTGGTTATAGGAAAGTATGGTGAGGCTTGGGGGTAGTCTGAGTTAGGGTTTTGTGCTGTGGAAAGGGGTAAGCCATGGTTGATTTGGATGGGTTGGGGAGGATGCCGTGGGTTTGGAGGTGGGGTTTGGGGATCTGGTGGATCTTCTTCAAGAGACGAGTTCTTCGCCGGGGGGGAAATATCAGAGAGAGAGTTTTCTTCCGTTTCCATTTATGGATAGATTAATGTATTATATTGAAATGTCTATTGCAACTACTTTTTCATTTTTGACTTTAATTATTTTAAACAATTAATTATACATTAGAAATGTTTTTTTTTTATTATTATTATTTTAAACAATTAATTATCGACCATGTATTTATATTATTTCAAAAGGACCCACATAGAACTCTTCCTAGGTTTTGATAACAAAAAACATAGGAAATAAAAATATAATTTTTTTTTTTGTGTAGATCAATGGTGCAGGATTACTCTGTGTATTTCACCGGGTATAGCATAAGCAAAAACCCGATTTAATGGGATTTTTACGACAACATTTTCCAATTTCCTACTTATTTTAGATTGTGTTAGAATAATTCGTTATTGTAACACTAAACTATTAAAAGTTTTCGGTTCAAACCTTAACTTGTAATGTGAATTATTTTGAATTATTTTAATGAACTTGAATTCCCCTCAATATAGAATAATTTGGTTGAGTTATGTTTATTTTTTATCTGAGTTTTTATTTGGTTCTTGAATACATTTAATTCAAATGCGACTAATTAAATAGATTATTGTATTTAAAAGTGGTTTAATTCCACTTTGCACCCTTGAAATACACTATTTAGTACTTTGCATTCTCGAAATAAATTAATTGCACTTTTCACTCTCGAAACACAAATTATCACACATACACATGAGTTTTTAAAGCTAATATATTTACTGGTATTTAAAAATTATATTTTTTTATCAAAAAAATATTTTACGAATTTTTTTTCCAGCTATATTGTTATCAAGTTACCTGAAAACTATATTTTCTTCCAAATATTTCTACATAATATTTCCACCAATTACAATAAAAGATCTATCAATCGAATAATTTAGTGATAAAAGTTTATTTGATTTTATTTTGTAAGAAAATGTAATTTTTTTAATAATCCGGTGTGATTTTAATTTTTTTCGCACTTTGTGTGCTCGAAATTACGTTGGAGGTTGAAGAAATAACAATTTAATTTGTTATTTGGCATTCCAAAAAAAAGAAAAACCAATAATAAATATTATTCAATTAATAGTGCATTGTGAATGATTTATTATGTATTGAGGGTGTAAAGTGCTATTTCTAATTTTTAAGAGTGCAAAGTGCCAAAATGCTCCATTTTACGGGCGCAATGTTAAATTAAGCCTTTAAAAGTCGATTAAAAAAATTTGATATGTATTTGCAATAAGAAGATGCGTGCGAGTTTCGATTACGTCAAAGAATGTGAGTCGTCAATTCATTGCCAATTAGGGTTCCCAAAAGACAAATTTATGAATTATTAATACTCGATAATGATAGTACATAACTAGACTTTATCTTTTTAAAACATTATCATATTTTTAGTTATTTATTTATCATTTATTTCCTCTTGATAGTGATTCACAAGAAAATGCGTTCACGTCTTAAATTGTTGGCTTAATTCCATTATACATTCTCCATTCTCCAAATATACAAATTTCGGCACTCCGCAACTCTAAAATAATTTACACCCTTGAATATGGATGGCAAAAAATCCGAACCGCTAGCTATCCACGGGTATCCGTTCCGTTTAAAACTCGTTACCGAAACCACTAGGGTTTGGTAATGGTTTTGGTAAAAGAAAAGAAAACTGTCATTGTTTTGGTATAGTTCTGGTTTTACCTTTACGGTCATGGGTACCCGACCATTTAGTATATATAATTATATATATAATTCAACAATATGAATAAAAAAATAGTTTTACGAAATTTTAAATAAAGTATTAAATAATTTAGGTAGGATATATTTGTATAATTTAATTTTTTTTTTCTTTTTTTCTTCCTCTTTTCTGAGAGTTACTTAAATATTGTGGAACCTAAAGTTATTTTTTATTACTATAATTTAAATGGTAAATGGGTTCCCGTGGATACTCGGATATTCGTGGTAATGGTTCTGGTATTTCCATTAACTTTTTAAAAGGGTTTGGTATGGTCATGGTTTGAGCTATATTAAATGGTAATGGTTCTGGTATTGCATTTTTTCGAGGGTACCCGCCCCACTGCCATCCCAACCCATGAAACATATTTAATCGTTTCGAAATGAATCATAATTTATTTTTTAGGCTTTAATTTTCGTTGACTTATTTTCTGATTATCAACCGGATCAGTTTTGTCCTTCGTTCTACAATTTGAAGTCATGTGTACTTTTTTTTTTCATTTTGATA